TGTATTAATAGTTTCATTGATTTCTATCCATGTTCTCACTCTAGGTACTGCTGCAGTGGCTGTAGCAGGAATTCTGGCCAGTCTCAAGATTACAAAGAAACCATTAAAAGACAATGTGTTTGTCTTCCAAGGGGCTGGAGAGGTACAATGTACATCATGATTTAAAAATTTAAGATTCATAAAAAATGTTTGCAGTGTATTTTATATACATGTATGTATGGGGTGGAGGTTGTACTTACTCTTCACTTTATTGCATGTATTCTTCATTCTGACCCTGTGAAATGTGTAAAATTCAATTATGCTCAGAAGTTAAGTAAATAACCTCTAGCTACTTTATATCTTAGTTGGTTAGTTTAAACCAGACCCTACATATTAAAAAGGAATTAATTAAAGAAAATGAGAATATAAAAAAACAAGATGTGTTTGTGAAACACTATGCGCCCGGCGGTAACAAAGTTAAAAAAATCTTTTTTTTGCAGATAAGTGACGTAAAGGCCACAAGGTCATCGACCTTGGCGTCATTTGAAAGAACTTGATTAGGGAAGTTTGCATACCAAATATGAAGTATCTATCTCTCATGGTTCAAAAGTTATGGCGAAAAGTCTAAAAAGCTAATTTTAGCATATAGGTCTCAGTCAAGGTCACAAGGTCATGACCTTGATGTCATTTGAAAGAGCTTTATTAGTGGAGTAGGCATATCAGTTATGAAGACTCTACCTCTCATGGTTCAAAAGTCATGGCGAAAGTTCGAAAAAGATATTTTTAGTATATAGGTCACAGTCAAGGTCACAAGGTCATTGACCTTGGTGCCATTTGAAAGAGCTTCATTAGTCGAGTATGCTTACCAAATATGAAGTCTCTATCTCTCATGGTTCAAAAGTTATGGTGAAGGTTAAAGTTGACAACAGACAGACAGACAAACAGACAAACAGATAAACAGACAAACAGACAGGACAAAAACAATATACGCCTCGGATCTATTGATCCGCGCGCATAAAAATACTTGTGTGGCTGTGCCTCAACTTCATACATTTTGACTTTTATACAGGCCTCTATTGGTATTGCCACTCTATTGGTCATGGCTATGGTAGAAACAGGTATTTCTGAAGCAGATGCCATCAAAAGGGTGTGGATGGTAGACTCAAGGGGACTCATTGTTAAGGTATGATCATGTTTGCCATCTTTTAAAAGTAATAATTATCCATAAAGGAATAATTTTTTAAATTCCTAATTATAAATGATTATGGTGGATGTGACCAGTCTACAAGGGATATCCTCTCCATGTTGGCACCTGATCCCATCTCTGAAATTCCCTCGGAATCCATGTTCATTTTTACAGATTTTTATTGTCTTTTGATTTTTTTAAAAAAAATCAAACACTGTTTGTTATTTCTACCCTTTTGAAAACATTTTTTTCACACAAAGTTCCCAAGAGTCATTTCCTTATTTTATGGACATTAAATTCTGTATTCATTTTCCCCTCACAGAACCGTCCATCAGGGGGAGTAACTGGCCATAAAATGAGATTTGCCCAGGACCATGCTCCTGTTGATAAGCTGGTGGATGTCATTAAAAAAGTCAAGCCTACAGCCATTATAGGTAAGTACACAGGGGCTCCTTTGACAGCTGGGACTTTCATATATTTTACATGAACACCTGACCTGTATATTTCTTCTGACCTACTTTTTTTCTTACTCATATTTTTGATCTCCTGAACCTGAACTTTCAGTTTAATGTACATACATGTAAGTTATAGGTTAAGCCTATATTTTGAAAAAGTTGGTGCAATGGCTTCATAATTGTAATAATGAAAATTTATTTTTTGTGACAAACATTTCTTTTTTTAAACATGTTTTTTACATCATGACCTTGTACCTTGGAGTTAATGAACTTCTTTTGAGGAAAAATTAACCTTTGCCATGTTTTCTGAATAGTTGCCAGTGCTAAGTCTTGGATATTTCACATGTGTATTCCTAGGATAAGATGCGTGCAACTTAACATTTTTTAACTCTTGACCATAAAGTTCAGCCTACATTTGAAAAACTAGAATCTTCAGGCCTCAATATTGCCTTCAGCTGCCATACCGGGACATCATGTTTCACAAACATATTTTCTTTTTATTTTAGAATGAAAATACTTGAATCAAGTTGACTGATGTGTGTCCAGGATTCAAATGTCATCTATAATTCTTTTTTAGGTGCTGCCGCTGTAGCTGGTGCTTTTACAGAGGAAATTCTGACTACCATGGCTAACAATAATGAGAGACCTATTGTGTTTGCCTTAAGTAATCCTACCAGTAAGGCAGAGTGTACTGCAGAGCAAGCTTATAATGTCACCAAGGTAATTATTCAAAAACTTAAATGACTGATTCATTGATAGTATGTACTACTTACAGATCACTAAATTTCGTGACACCTTATTTTTGAGAAATAGTCATTGACTCTTTATGAGTGAGACATAATTTTCATGAATTGTTGTTATTCTTCTATAAAATCGTAAGGAATACCTTTACACGTGAGAATGAAATTTTTGCGAGCTCATTGTCTCGCGTAATTACCGGGGGGGGGGGGGTATTCAAAAATAAAGTTCTCATGAATAAAAAGTGATATACATTACATAATGTGAAGTGTGTTAAAGAGGATGCAGATTAAATGAACATTTTAATCACTTGAAACTTTAAAAAACACATACTTCGAATTCTTTTTATCTGTCAATTTGCCTATTTCTGTGTTTGTTCTAAGCAACTTCTGCAGTACAGTTATCTTTCATTTACAGGGCAAATGTGTCTTTGCTAGTGGCAGTCCATTCCCTGCTGTGACCTACAATGGTAAAACATTCCATCCTGGTCAAGGCAACAATGCTTACATATTCCCTGGCATTGCTCTAGCTACCATTCTGTGTGACATTAGGTCTATTACAGAGGAAGTCTTCTTAGAATCAGCAAAGGTAAAGTTTGGAGAACATTCAGACAGGAGTCATAAAGATTTTTAATATGAATACATGCACTTGCAGTATATGACTCTCTGATGGGGAAACACTGGAGCAATTTGAAACAAGAGGCCCAGGGGCCACAGCGCTCACCTGAGCACATCAGCTAGGAAAAAGCACATATCATGATTTGGACGAACTAGAATCTACACTACCTGAGGATAATTCTACATAAATATTACTAATCATAGCTTTGAAGTACTTGAAAAGAAGATTTTAAAAGATTTCCCTTTATATTCTTATGAGAATTAATTTTTGGTCTGCCATTTTGGCCCCAGCCTACCCCCGGGGGTCATGATTTGAACAAACTTGAATCTACACAACCTGAGGATAATTTCACATGAGTTTCAATTTTCCTGTCTCATTGGTTCTTGAGAAGAATTTTTTTGAAAGATTTTTCCTACATACTCCTAGGTAAAACTTTGATCAGCCATTTTAGCCCCACCCTACCCCCGGGGGTTATGATTTGAACAAACTTGAATCTACACTATCTGAGGATGAATCCATATGAGTTTCATCTTTCCTGGCCCAGTGGTTCTTGAGAAGAAGATTTTTAAATATTCTTCCTATATATTCCTATGTAAAACTTTGATCAGCCATTTTGGCCCCACCCTCCCCCAGGGGGTCATGATTTGAACAAACTTGAATCTACACTGTCTGAGGATGATTCCACATGAGTTTCATCTTTCCTGGCCCTGTGGTTCTAGAGAAGAATATTTTTAAAGATTTTTCCTATATTTTCTGTGTAAAACTTTGATCGGCCATTTTGGCCCCACCCTACCCCCGGGGGTCATGATATGAACAAACTTGAATCTACACTACCTGAGGATGATTCCACTTGAGTTTCATCTTTCCTGGTCTAGTCGTTCTTGAGAAGAAGATGTTTTAAAAATGGCATTAATTTTTCTCTAATTCATAATTATCTCCCCTTGGAAAAAGGGTTTGGCCCTTCATTTGAAAAGACTTGAATACCCTTTACCCAAGGATACTTTGTAGTAAGTTTGATTGAAATTCGCCCAGTGCTTCTTGAGAAGAAGATGAAAATGTGAAAAGTTTACGACGACAACGACGGCAACGACAACAACGACAATGATGACAGACAACGGACAAATTTTGATCAGAAAAGCTCACTTGAGCCTTCGGCTCAGGTGAGCTAAAAACAAGCAAATTCAAAAAATTGTGGTGACCTGCTTTTAGTGTCCTTGTTGGTGAGGTGACATTTTTTTATGTTGTATTGTGTCAAATATGAACGCCCTATCATATGTCATTTAGAAATTATGAACAAAGCTGAGGATTTTTTAAAAAATAAGGTTAATCGTAAAGGTCAAGGGGTCAGAAATCTTAGCATATGCTCAGAAATATCTTGTCACAGGTAATGCACATGTCAAATATGAAAGCCATAACTTTTCTCAATCAAAAGTTATAAGGAACAAGAAGCGTTTGTGAAACAATGATGACCCTGTAAGTAAGTAATTAAGTAATATTGGTACCCAAAGTAGGGTCTTCCCACAAGAAATACAGTTGTGAAATATGAAAGCACTTCCTGTTCAAAAGTTATGGCCAAGGATAAGTTTTTGAAAAGTAGGTCAAACTCCAAGGTCAAAGGGTCAAAGTTGTTGGTTTGTTAAGAAAGGTCTTGTATTAAATTCAAAGTTATGGCCAAGGTTAAAGTATTTAAAAATTTTGTAAATTTGCATACAGCACCTTTTACTTTAAATTCTAACATTCAACAATAATAATGCAATTATTATAGTTTTAAGTGGATGAATTGATGATTTTTTTCAAACAATACTTTGTATACATACACATATGTACTAATGAGCATATCTAGACATTCTAAATCCTCCTTGTTGTAATGCTAATTATAAAGTGACAATAAACAGAGATATATTTTTCCTTTCAGTTACTGGCGAACATGGTAGATGACAAAAGCTTATCCATGGGGCTGGTGTACCCTCCCCTGTCCAGAATTCTCCAAGTCTCCACCGACATCGCCATTGGACTGATTAACTTCGCCTACAAACACAAGCTGGCCTACCACTACCCAGAGCCTGAGGACAAGAGGAAGTTTGTAGAATCCTACCAGTATGACATGTCCTACAAGACCTTTGAACCTGCAACCTATGACTGGCCCGACGGTCTGAATTCCACCGAGTGTAAAGTTTAGAGATGCCATATTTTTATTGTTGTGAAAGTTGTTTATGAAATGATATGCTGGATGCAGTGAAATACAATGATGATGCTATGTTGTTACAATATTGTGAAAGCTGTATTTTGATAAGGAGTGCTTTTTGTGTATAGTGGACTGGTAGTTGATATATTAAAAAAGAGTAGAAATCCCAGTGTAATTGCATTGTTCTATATCAAACGTTAAAAAGTGCCATTTGAATTACATGTTTCCAGCAAGATACTTCAATCTGCCATTGTTAAGTTGAGCAACTGAATGATATTATGAATACAGCCTCAAACATATTGTAAGGCAGTGGTAATTTTATTAAAATTGTAAATGATATTATCGTATTTTTTTCAAAAATAATTTAGCTGTTTAAAATAAATAACTATCTTTTACAATTTGCAATGAGTGTTTACCAATGATATTCTAAATTCATGGTATTGATTTAAATTTTAAGGTATTTTTAGAATGATGCTGCAGTTTTTTTTTTCAATTGATCAGAATGCACTTACCAGTAACTAAAATGTGTATAGTAGCTGTGAATTCGACCAATACTACAATATATTTTAAACATTGGAATTAATTTGTCTGTAGTTAAGTATACAATTATTAAGATGGTAGGAAAGAAGAGTAATGTATAGAAATGTATTTCAGATCAGAATATGTAGGAAATAAAGTTAACATTGTCAACTTAAAATAAATAAACATGTTAAATCTGTTTTACATGTGTCAAGCTTTACCAAACTTTACAAAGACTAAAATTGTCTCAAATTACATTTTTACACCAAACCTTTAATACCCTCCAAGGATCAATACAGTAGTTGGTCCTGGCTTGGAAGGAATTTCTCAGGTCTAGTATTTATACTTCTTTGATATTGTTATGGATATTATCATATAACCTGTGATAAATTCTATCTACCTGTAACTTTCTATTTTATGATAAAAATTATATATATATAGCAACTTTTATCTTTACCCTATAAAGAATAAAAGCATTATATTTATATATTTCTATTTGTTTCCTTCTTTTATTTCATGAATATATTATGTATACAATTATACATCTGTTAGAAATACAAATATATTTATAAATTATCTGAATTTCTTTACTTATATTTATAGCTTTTAATCTGTCATCCGAAAATAAAGTTTTTTTTACATGTATAGTTTCACTGTTTCATTTTTTTTCCATATACATGTACTAACTAATGTTTTCTTGCTTATTTAATATCAACTTCTGATTCAGAAGTTGTGACTTTTGCTTATGAATGAATATTTACATTTGCAGATATTTTATATCCTCGTATATACTGTAAACTAACTTTTATTCGCGATGACTAAATTACTAGGGTTAAACTGGTTTGCGACCATTAATTTTCGCGATCAAGCCGTTTTTGATATGCGGTACATGTATGCACAATTTTGTTATGATCAGGATAACTCATAAGAAATGTACTGATACACAAATAGCCTTGCATCAATCCCCCGAGTACTTGCCTTGGTCAACATTGTTAAATTTCTGGTGAATGTCAAGTAATATATTTCAAAACCATAGTCCATAAATTTGTAATATTAAGCTTTCAGAGCTGAATTGCATTTAAAATAATATTGAACTTTCAAGGAGAAAATATAACATCAATAGCTAACGATTTTTTTACAGTTTGATGACTGAGAGTTAATACCTCAAAGCCTTTCCTCCTCTTCCTGTTTTTAAGTTTCATGATCTGGTGACATTTCAAGCATCCATACCTTAACTGTGGTAGTATAATCAATTCCAAATGATAACCTCTGGAACAGTCCTTCAGTACATCAACTATATTGTACATTTTGATTTCCAAATCACTAAAATGACCACTGAACTTTAACACGGATATACACACAAAAGTATCTGAAAGGTTAGTGCTAAATTGTTGTTCATAAGATTCTATAAAAGTGATGGATTAGTAAATTGTAATAAAAATTTATTGACTACTTGCTATTTCTTGGAAGGCCAACTACTTAGGGTTGACATTAATACCTCAGTTGATGGACACTTTGCTAATGGAACAGAATGATTGTAAGAGGATTTACTTCTTTATTTTGTGGCATGATACTTTGATACAATTGATTTCAAGAAATTTGTATTCAGCTGCGCATAAAATGTGCACACTTCATTTTACATTAAATATAACATGTATTAGTCGAACTTATCTATAATCAAGACACCATTGGTTCTAGAGAAATTTACAACATTCTGGATTAAATGTCAAAATTAAACAACTAAATTATTTTTCTTGAAGTTTTACATCCTAGAGCATGTGGAGATCTAAGGCAAAAGTATAGAATATACCTGATCCAGATTAGACAAATTTTACAGTACATTTAATGTACATGAATCAAAGTTCTGTAAATTAATATTTACGCCATACAGTATATTCCAACTGATCTTGATCTTGAGATGTTTTGAAATCATACGTTCAACACATTTTTTTAGCTCTACTGGTCAGAGACCAGAAGAGCTTATGCGATAGTAATGCGTCCGGCGTCCGTCCATCTGTCTGTCTGTCTGTCTGTCCGTCTGTCTGTAAACAATTTTTCAAAACGCTACTTCTCCTACAATTTTAGTCTGATTTCAATATAACTTGGCACACAAGTAGATACACTTAGATACATAAAATAGTGCATCGGTTTTTGATTTCGATGAACGGTGTTGCCATGGTTACTAAAAATAGAATTTTCTGAGAAATTCCTTTAAAACGCTACTCCTTCTACAGTTTTGGTCTCATTTCAATATCACTTGGCACACAAGTAGACTACACTAAGATACATAAAATGGTGCATCGGTTTTTGATTTCAATGAACGATGTTGCCATGGTTACTAAAAATAGAATTTTCTGAGAAATTCCTTTAAAATGCTACTCCTTCTACAGTTTTAGTCTGATTTCAAGATAACTTGGCACACAAGTAGACTACACTAAGATACATAAAATAGTGCATCGGTTTTTGATTTTGATGAACGATGTTGCCATGGTTACTAAAAGTAGAATTTTCTGTGAAATTCCTTTAAAACGCTTCTCCTTCTACAGTTTTAGTCTCATTTCAATATCACATGGCACACAAGTAGACTACACTAAGATACATAAAATAGTGCATCCGTTTTTGATTTCGATGAACGATGTTGCCATGGTTACTAAAAATAGAATTTTCTGTGAAATTCCTTTAAAACGCTACTCCTTCTACAGTTTAAGTCTCATTTCAATATCACTTGGCACACAAGTAGACTACACTTTAAGATACATAAAATAGTGCATCCGTTTTTGATTTCGATGAACGATGTTGCCATGGTTACTAAAAATAGAATTTTCTGAGAAATTCCTTTAAAACGCTACTCCTTCTACAGTTTTGGTCTCATTTCAGTACAACTTGGCACACAAGTAGACTACACTAAGATACATAAAATAATGCATCGGTTTTTGATTTCGATGAACGATGTTGCCATGGTTACTAAAAATAGAATTTTCTGAGAAATTCCTTTAAAACGCTACTCCTTCTACAGTTTTAGTCTCATTTCAATATCACTTTGCACTCAAGTAGACTACACTAAGATACATAAAATAGTGCATCGGTTTTTGATTTCAATGAGCGGTGTTGCAATGGTTACTAAAAATAGAATTTTCTGAGAAATTCCTTTAAAACGCTACTCCTTCTACAGTTTTGGTCTGATTTCAATATCACTTGGTACACAAGTAAACTACACTAATATAGTAATACATATAATAGTGCATCGGTTTTTGATTTCAATGAACGGTGTTGCCATGGTTACTAAAAGTAGAATTTTCTGTGGAATTCCTTTAAAATGCTACTCCTTCTACAGTTTTGGTCTGATTTCAATATAACTTATCACACAAGTAGACTACACTAAGATACATAATTCTGTGCATTGGTTTTTGATCAGTACAAACCAGTAGAGCTACAGTCTCGACACAGACTTCTGGTTTTGTTGAGGGAGGGTATTTATAGGAATTGATTGACTCAGACTGTAAGTTATTTTAAATCCCATTTGAGAATTTTTCACCCACAAAGAGATGACACAATAAACTAGTAAAGGAATTCAAATTTATATAGACCTTTACTAGACACTTAGGGCCATTGAGCATTGAGGGTTCTTCAATTAACACCTACCATGACACTGGGCCTTGATTTTTAAGGTTTCATCCAAAGGACGCACAACTTTTACTTCAAAGTGCCAAGTGCTTGGAGAAGGAACAGATGCTATCTACTTTTTTACATATATAAACTTATGTCATTTGTGGCTGCTCAACCTTCTGCTCAAAAAGCAATATTATTTATAGAGATGAATATGTCTCTGGAATCAATTAACTGTTAAATTCTTAACAAGGGGTACTCTTTGAAGTCCTTCTCATTTTTGAAGTGGTAAATAACAATATGACCATTTCTAATGAACACAATGGCATTTTCAAGTCTTAGCATCATGTTAAATTGCAAAATAGTGATAACTTTTTTTAACAATTTTAAAATAAATTAATTGCAAAGCACATTTATTTCATTAAGTTTGATTATTGCACATATACATAGTATATACTCAGTGAAAAACAAAATGGCAAATAAATAATTAAAAATTAAAACAATAAAACTTAAATGATCACAAAAAAGTAAGAGCACTGATACACATAATAATGATCTATAGTTTTATTTTCTACCCTACAGTTTATCACAAATGAACACTCCATGTCTGTCTTTGATTCTTATAATTTTCTACATTACAGCTCAACATGAAAGTACATCTCATGTCTTGCAGTATTATGGCATCTAATTAAATAATATTATGACAATGAAAGACCTTCAACACTGAGTATA